AAAAAACTAGTAGACGAAGGCAAAGAGCCGGTAGCAACCGCCACCTGAAGTTGGTACTCTTAACTAAACATCGGGATTGACTGTTGCTCTTATAACGCAACCTTAGATTAAATTGTGAAAAAGTGTTTCGTAGTACCACGTCTCAAACCCGAGATCTTGTCATTTAGTTCAACTATCAAGTTTTTGTTATATTAAAGTGTTACCTCACCTTCTAGCTCGAGCACGTTGAATTTCAGTATGTAATATGAAACTGACACGTACAGATATTAATATAGTGAAAGATCATGTAAATTAGCTGTTCACATGAGAATATAGCCTCGTGATCTAACGACTAAATAAAAACACTGACTTAAGGTTAAACGAGTTAGTTCTTGAGATATTGTTAAAACGTATTAGTACTCGATATCCTTATTGATCTTAAAGTTGCTTAAATTCAGAATATTGTTTTTTTCGAATTGGGTTTTATTTTTCCTCTAGTTCTTGAAATAATTATTAACATTTATATTTACATTGTATTGTTCATTAAAGTTTTAGATCGGATTTCTTTATGTGTCAAAATGTAATCAAGAGCCTCGAGCGATTTTTTGTGCGCCATTGTGCATTCATCCCAAACAATAAGTTTGCATTTCTGCAATACTTTTCCCATGCCAGATGCTTTGGTAATGTTGCACGTGGGAGTTTCAATGAATTGCATGTTCAATGGCAATTTCAAAGCAGAATGCACAGTTCTTCCACCTGGTAGCAATGTCGCAGCTATTCTGGACAACGCAAGAGCTAAGGCTATGTCATTTTGGGATCGAATTGCTGCCAGAATCAATCTAATTAGAAACGTTTTACCAGTTCCTCCTGGCGCATCTAAGAAGAAGATTTCTCCAACCCCGTTACTGACAGTTTGCATTATTTTATCGTAAATGCCTTTTTGCTCAAGCGTTAGCTTAGGAATATTTGATTGCACATACGACAAAAGATCACCCGTGTTGTAATTTTGTTCACGACGCAATTCTGCATCGAACGAAGCAGCAGCAGATCGATTCGGTGATGGCATTCCCAATTGATTGATCAACGCTTCGTTGTAGATTTCTGATGTGAAATCCATGCTCATATTTGAATTTTTCTTGCGTATTCGACGGAAAATATCTTCAGCCATGTGCGATTTATATTTCTCCCATAACTCTCTTGGAGATGAAGGAGAGCAGGCGGTCAATATGATTGCAAACAATGCACGAATTTGATTTGTATGTGACGTGTTGCACACGTCATTAATGCATACATCCCAGTCGTTCTCCAATAAATTCAGAGCTTGACATGCACTGTGGAAAGTGACATGTGTAACACCGTTGACAATTCTCAATTGCTGGAAAGACGTTGGACCGGGCACATTTACCAACAGCATGCGAAGAAAGAAGCATTCATCTTGATTGGGATGCAAGGTGTACAGTCTGCCTATCGTAGTGTCTTTAAATATGCCAGGTTGTCCGTCGACTCGCTCTCCTCGTTTGCGTCGTTCAAATGATTTTCTACTCGCATTCCATGTGTAACACGTAGGCACTTCCGAATACAGCAGTGTTTTCGCAAACGCGTCATTTTGACATAACGTGAAGAAGGCATTTAACGTTGTAGCCAGTGGATTCAGGGCTATTTGTTGCACATTTGCAGCTGTGAAATAAACGCGTTGTTCATTTTCTAGATGTACTGCTAAGTGAACAACAGCTGGGCTTCGTTCGTGTATGGGAAATGAAAGAATTCGCCATACAGCTTCATTGCTGCTTATGTATCTTCCAGCCTGATACTGTGCAATTTCATTGATATGTATGACCACATTCCTATCACTTCTTTCTGGTTGCACGCCAAAAACTGCCATGTCGCTGCCTTTATTCACGTACTTACAAATGTATTTGATCGATTTAACGGAGTTACAGTATTCCACGTTTATGTGTGCTTTGTATGTTTTTGATAGCAAAGGCGAATATGGAACAACCCACCGGTTATCTACTTCGATGTCACCGTTTCGCATTTGTATGGTTGCTAATTTACCGCCATCTTCTGCTGATCTTCTTCTGTATAAAGGATATCCATCGTTTCCTGTAACTGTGTTGGATACTAATGCTCGAGGATATCGCTTAGAGCATTTTCCGTCTATCATGCATGGTGAATTTGGATTCAGTGTACCTCAAGGTCCATGTATCATATTTTGGGTCACAACTTCATGCAAATCCTTATTGACGTCGGCATCGGGTATTTCAGCGCATATTACATCGTCGATTTCGTTTGAAGTGATTTTGTTATAGAGCCAGATTAGTATATGTGCGTGTGGCAATCCTCTCTTTTGCCATTCCACTGTGTACATCCAGCAGCGCACAGACACAAACACTTCATGTTTTACCATGAAATCCATTAGCTTCTGTCTGAAAACACGTGCTGTGATGTCATGCCTATCCACCGGCGAATGCCCAGGAAGTAAGAGCTGTTGTATATCGTCCCAAGCTGGATTGCATGTGAATGTAATGAATAGGTCTGGACGCCCGCAGTGACGAACATACGCAATTGCATCTTGAGTGTACTCATGCATATGACGTGGACTGCCTGTATATGAAGATGGCAAAATCGTTAGTCTTCCAACGTTAGTTGTATTACCGTTATTTATCTCGCAAATGAACGTATTCTTCAGAGCGAAGCTTGGTCTGATTCAAATGGATGAATATCAAACGTTCTGTTTCGATTTTTGCAT